CTGGGAGCCCCCTGTCCCTGCATCTGGGAGCCCCCTGTCCCTGCATCTGGGAGCCCCCTGTCCCTGCATCTGGGAGCCCCCTGTCCCTGCATCTGGGAGCCCCCTGTCCCTGCTGTGCTGTTAGTAGCCAAGTGTCCTGGCTCTGCTCCTGCAACCTGGTGTCCCTGCTCAGCTGGTGGTGTCCCTGGTCCACTGCTTGAGGTGCCAGATCTGGCGAGGGGTGCCCGCTGTCCCTGCTGTCTTGCTCATTGCTCCTACTGTTCTTCTCCTTAGTGTCCGGTGTCCCTGATCTGCTGCCAGGTGCCCAGTGTTGCTGCTGGGTCACTGGTGCCGCTTCTGTGCTGCTGCTGAATTGCTGGGGACATTGCTCTGCTGCTGGGGACATTGCTGCTACTGCTCTGCTGTTTCATCGGTAGATACTGACTTTAGGGATCCAGAGCTGGTACCTTGCGGGGCAGATTTGTCTTAGGCTGCGAGGGATCTGGCACGGGAGAGCCGGGTACCCAAACAAGGGAGAAGTTTACTTAGGGATGGGTTGAGAGACAGTTGGGTTACAGTTTACGGGATGGTTGTTATGAGCGGGACCTCAGGGTAGAGCATCTCTCTTTGTGCTGCAAATTATGGTCTTCCCCTGGGAGCCCGGTGTCCCCCGCAATGCGGCCACTGGGGGCCTCTCGTGTTTTTTGTTTGTTATTGAGATCACTGTGGCAGCTCATTTGGATATATAGGTCCCAGCACCCGGCTCTCTCAATATGGGTTAAATAATCATTAACTCTTAAGCCACCATAGCTAGGACTGGCGGTTCCATATCGGGTGGAGACACTAACACTGGTTCCTTTTCCCTTACATATCAGAGACTGTAAGTCATGTTGGGACTAGTAGTTCCTCAGTAACTAGACAGCTGCTCTTTGCCTTTCCTGAGCTGGTGACATGGCGGAAATTGTATTTCCAGCAGATGTGTGCTCTAAATACTGCGATTCCTCTTTGTTAACTTATATCTAGGGCTGTCCGTGTGTGCTGGGACTTGTAGCTCCACAGCAGTTGTTTTACTCTGTGTCTAAGGGCTGGGGTACCTTACAGTGGGCTGCCCTGTGGTTGTGTTATTACAGTTCTCGCCTTCATTTTATCATTTGGTTTACTGGTTGTATTTCAGTATGTGTGTACTCCCTCCATTACTTTTTTTGCACTTTTGTTTTCTTTGTTTTCTTCCACGTTATATGAGCTCCATTATTGGTGACCTGTAAAATAACTCACACTGTACAACTGCTTATACCAGAACTCCGATTCACTTCTATTATGTTACTGCCAGGTATTTGTATGTAGATATGGAATCCCTGTTATGGTGACTATCTGATCTTCTGTTTGGTTTCCACAAATGTTGGCGAGGTCCTACACAATTTTATTCTGGACATCAATCAATAAAGAATGTGAACTTTGTAGGTTCCTTTTTGGGAAATCCTTTCAAATGTTTTATTTTTTTTATTTCACTGGCTGTTTGTTTGTTTTTTAAAGACTTGTATACAATTTCTTGTTGTTTTCAAAATGGTAAATAGAATATCCCAAAAAACGAATGTTTAGGTGAAAAAACAGCAAATGTGCAAGAAAAGCATTTTACTTTCAGACAGAATTTGTAGCAGATAGCAGTTAGGTAATTAAACATTTGTAGTGTTAGTGCTTGCTGCTTCCTCTACTTGAGGTGTGTGTGTGTGTGTATGTATATATATATACATATATC